GAAATCGGAGGACTCGAAGCGAGCCCTGCAGCAGACGCGCCTTTGTGGGTCTTGATGCGGTTGAGGGTCTCCTCGACCTCGGACATCGCCGCGGGGCAGACCCTCCGCCTCCGCGGCAGGGCGGCGGGCCCCCCGGGAGAGGCTCCGGGCGGGCGGGCGCCCGCGGAGCGCGGGGGCCGCGGCAAGCAAACGGCTTGAGCCGAGGCGGCTGCGGGCTCCGTCCTTCTCTCGTCCTGCTCGTCGTCCTCCTCCCCCCCCCCCCCCTCCCTGCCCCCCCCCCCCCCTCCTCCCCTTCCCTCCCCCCCTCCCTCCCACCCACTCCATCGTGCTCCTCCTCCCTCCTCCCGCCCTCCCTCGTGCGCCCTCTCCCTCCCTCGTGCTCCTCCCTCCTCCTTCCCTCTCACATCCTCCCTGCCCATTTCCCCCATTCAGCCTCGGCCCTATCTAAAACACAGACGCCGATCACGATCAGAACCGCTACCATCGGACGACGTTGATGTAAGTGACTATCAAATGTGAATGCCACCCTATCTCATCCTGCTGCTTTCCGGTGTTATCATCTGTGCGAATATGATAGGAGGCTCTAGTGCGTGAAGCGATCGAACGCAAAACAAATGGTTAGTGCAGACATGCATGCTACTCGGAGTTGTAAGAGGCCATATGTGTCCAACTTGGGAAGACATCACAACGGATAATACATGATAACATGCTACCTTTTGTTATCGAATGATGCCATGTGGTTTCCTGTGCTGTCATGCTTGCTCTTTCCTGCCAGGAGGGCCCCGCAGGCCCTTGAAGGCGTGAGTGGTTTAGGGCGCTTCCTCTTCCGACCTCCTGCGTTCCCTTTTGGGAAGGGGCTCACCCCTACGGCAACAAGACAGAAGCAGGTGGAATCCCCCGACGCAAGAAGATCGCATCGGAGCGAAGTGAATCGGAACTCCGTGAGAACCGGCGGGCCCGGAGGTCTAATCGGGCGCCGCGGCCGCTCCAGCGCTCTGGGTTGCTCTGGGTGCGTTGGGAGCGCCCCGACCCGCACCCCCGTCCCCTCACCCTTTCCACCCCGCGAGCATTCCGCTTGACCAACCCTTCATCCCAAGCCATTATGTTGACGGCCCCAGGGTGTGGGGAGAGAGAGAGAGAGAGAGAGAGAGAGACCCCGCTCCTGGACCCTCTTCTTCGTGTTGGCGTTAGGTCGGGCATGTCCCCCTACAAGCCGATTTTGAAGGGAAAGACAAAAATAATAATAAAAAAAATGCTCAAACATTGACAAACAATCGTCCCCAGATCTTTTTGGGACTATTTAAAGAAAATTCTCCTGTAGAGGGACAGGCCCGACTTAAAGTTGGCATGGAACGACGGGAGCCTGACGAATCGGGTCCTTGACCACGGGACTTTTCCAAGGGCCAGTTCTTCATCCTGCGTCGTTCTGTCACTGTCCTGAGGCCAATGATTAAGTCGAGCCTGTCCCCCTACAGGCGGGTCTGGGACGAAAAATAGAAAATACTCCAAACAGAAACAAACATATTCAAAAATATTCAAAAAATCATCCCGAGACTAGTTTTTGACGATTGTTGATGTTCCGCGCGGACCTCCGAGATTTTATGTTTATGTCACTTGTTGTTCCCCTAGGGCCGGGGAGACGTAAGACCCGGGTACGGGGGACTCGGAAATCCCCGACGAGGTCGTCAAAAAAATGACGAGGCCGAGCGTGCATTTTGACGAGGCCTCCCGCTGCAGACATCCCACGAAACTCCTCCTCGTGAAAATCCGAGTCGCGGTCGTCAAAAAATATATGGCGAACCCGAGTCCTGGCACACCCGGGTCTTACGCTCCCCCGATAGTGTACCCATTCTCTCCGTACCCACGTCGGTCGCCACCCCCCCGCCTCCGCCAAATCCCGTCGAGGCCATGGCTCGTCCCGGATCGGTGCCTGACGGCCCGGGCAGCCGACGCACGGGCCACGGAGGCCACAGCTCACGGAGAAACGCCCGGGTTGGAATCCACCGTTTGCAAAGGGGGCCCAGGGACACACACAAAGAAATACACGCAACTAGCAGGATGCCCCATGATTTGCTGGGTTTTCATCTTTCCCCCCCCCACTTCCATACTTCCCCATATTTTCCTGGGGGGTCGACGCTTACTTGTGTCTGTGTGTTTTCTTCCCTCCTGGTTTTTCCCAGCGAAAACACCCGATGACGAGCGCTGCCGGCTTCCCAACTGAGGGGGCGACGACTCCGCCTAGCAAGCTTGGAGAGAAGGTGGTCGAGGCCCCCGCCCCGAGCAGTGCAGAGTGGTGGCAAGGCCCACCCGTTCGTGACACGCCGCAGAGGCCCAGACATGCGACGTCCTGATCTGTGCAGGACGGCGTCCCCGACCCCTTCCCTGGGACCGGATTTTCATCCTGAGTCGTTTTTAGAAGGGAACAAAACTGGCATAAACATAAAAACTCGGAGGTCCGCGCGGATTTCCCGGATCCGCGCTGGGGCCCCCCGGCGGCGCCTCCGGCGCCGCCCCTGGCGCGCTCCGCGCGCCAGGGAGAGGGGTCCAGCGCCGATCCGAGACATCCGCGCGGACCTCCGAGTTTTTCATTTCCCAACCATCCTGTGGTGTTGGGTCCTCGTTTTGAAGAGACAGCACCCCGCGTTCCTCTCCTCTCCTCTCCTCCTCCTCCTCCTCGTCGTCCTCCTCCACGTCCTCGTCCTCCTCGTCCTCGTCCTCGTCCTCCTCCTCGTCCTCCTCCTCCTCCCCCCCATCCCATCACCATCACCATCACCATCACCATCACCATCACCATCACCATCACCATCACCATCACCATCACCATCACCATCACCATCACCATCATCATCATCATCATCATCATCATCATCATCATCATCATCATCATCATCATCATCATCATCATCATTATCATCAACATCATCAGCATCAGCATCAGCATCAGCATCAGCATCATCATCAGCATCATCATCATCATCATCGAAATCACCATCACCATCACCATCACCATCAGCATCAGCATCAGCATCATCAGCATCATCATCACCAATCATCATCAATCATCATCATGATCATCATCATCATCATCATCATCATCATCATCATCATCATCCCCTCCCTCTCCCTACACCATCGTCACCATCATCACCGTCACCCATCATCCACCAGCATCATCATCTGCAGCATCATCCTCATCCACCTCCCATGTCGTCACACCCCTCACACGTTTCGTGGCCCCACAGGGAGCCCAACCGAAGGCCAGTGGCGGTGTTCGCATGCGTCTCCCCCACCCAGGACAACGTTTCGTGGCCCCATAGTCAGCTCCACCGAAGGCCCCAGTGGGGGTGTTCGCATGCGTCTCCCCCACCCAGGACAGCGTTTCGTGGCCCCATCGGGAGCTCCACCGAAGGTCACAGTGGCGGTGTTCGCATGCGTCTCCCCCACCCAGGACATCGTTTCGTGGCCCCATAGGGAGCTCCACCGAAGGCCCCAGTGGGGGTATTCACATGCATCTCCCTCACCCAGGACAGCGCGTCGTGGCCCCATAGGGAGCTCCACCGAAGGCCCCAGTGGGGGTGTTCGCATGCGTCTCCCCACCCAGGACAGCACTTCGTGGCCTCATAGGGAGCTCCACCGAAGGCCCCAATTGAAGGGTTCGCATGCGTCCGCGCCACCCAGTACAGCGTTTCGTGGCCCCATGGGGAGCTCCACCGAAGGCCCCAGTGGCTGCATTCGCATGCGTCTCCCCGCCCAGGACAGCACTTCGTGGCCCCATAGGGAGCCCCACCGAATGCGTTGCTCACAAAGACGGTACTCACAACTGCATATGGTTGGGTCCTTCGCCAGGCCAATTGTACGCCACTGTTTGTTCCCCTAGGCGTTTCGTCCTGAGTCGTTCTTTGACGGTCCCGAGGCCCGGCGGAGGCCTCCGGAGCCCGAGCACGGCGACACGACCGCCCTGAATGCTCGTGACGGCGCGAGCACGTCTGGGGACGCAGGCAGCAAGAAGGCAGGCGCCCCGAGTGGAGAGCGCAGATCGTCGGAGACGTGGGCCCCGCTGCCGCGGCAGTGCCAAGGGGGGGGGGGGGGGAGGTCCCCACACGAGGGGCCGCCACCCGCCCCCCCCCACTGGGGGGGGGGGGGGGGGGAGGTCCCCACTCGAGGGGCCGCCTCCCGCCCCCCCTCCCGGGGAGAGCGTGCCCCACGAGAGCGCCTCCACGGAGCCTCCCCTCGATCCTCGATGCTCCCTCCCCCTGGATCCTCCGCTGCCTCGATCCGCCCTCCTCCTGGATCCTCCCTCCCCCTGGGACCTCCTCCTGGGCCATCCCTCCTCCCGGATCCTCCCTCCTCCCTCCTTTCTCCTCCCTCCTCCTGGATCCCCCCTCCTCGTGGATCCTGCATCTCCAAGGTGGGGTGGTGACCCCCTCCCTCCCTGGCGCCCCCGCTCGGCACTGCCCCGACTCCAGCCAGGGCTGGACCCAAACGGCGTTCTTCGCTTCCGTTGTGTCCTTCGCGCTTCCCTGTGCTGCCTTCGCTTCGCCTGGAATGCAAAACAAAACGAAACACAAGACGGCCCACGAGATAACCAAAACACCGTTTAGATCCAGCCCTTGAGCAGGGACCGACCGTCCCGGCAATTCTATAGGCCTACCACGAAGTATTCTCAGAACCCCAAAAAGTTCTAAGAACAAAAACAATGTTCTGAAAACAGAATCCCGTTATGTTCAAACAGGACAGTCCCAGCCAGAAATGCTATGAGAACATTATGTGGAAGCCACGAAAGGTTCTCAGAACACTGCTTGGTAGGCCTACAGGCACGCGAGGACGCTTCGTCAATGCTTGAACCAAAACGCCGTTTAGATCTGGCCCCCGCGGAAGGAAGACCGAGCGCCTCGGCACGCTCGACTCCTCCTACTCCTCCTCCTCCTCCTCCTCCTCCTCCTCCTCCTCCTCCTCCTCCTCCTCCTGCTCCTCCTCCTCCTCCTCCTCCTCCCCCTGGCCTGAGGCGGATCTCGCCCCTCCCCAGCTTCACGGGGAGCTCGCTCGACTTGAGCTCGCGTGGGGGCGGGGCCGCGCTGGCGGAGCAGCCCATGCCTGGGGGTGGTGCGTCGGGGCCGGGGAGGAGGAGGAGGAGGAGGAGGAGGAGGAGGAGGAGGAGGAGGAGGAGGAGGATGAGGAGGAGGAAGAGAACGACGAGAAAAGAGGAGGGCTGGCCGGCTTCCGGGGGGGAGGAGAAGCCCTGACCTCCTCACGTTGCGAAAAGGTCACGACTGGGAGAAGAAAAAACTGGATCCGCGCTGGCCCCCCCCCAGCAGCGCCTCCAGCGCCGCCCCTGGCGCGCTCCGCGCGCCAGAAATCCGCGCGGAGCGCCACAAATTTATGTCTATGCAGATGTTTTTCTTCTTCGAACAGCGGAAGGTTTTGTTGCCAATTTCGGCCCGTGGGCGGTCAACAAAAACGGGCTCGGGAAGAAAGGCAGACTGGGACTCGGTCTAGGCCTCTGGGGTCCGCGCTGTGAAATCAACACGCCGTCGGAGGTCTGGGAGAGAGGGTGGAGGGGTGAGGAGAAGGAGTATCGGACCGCATATGAGATCACGTTTTTGTGGCACTGCAGGGTACACATTACGGTGCGATGCTGCTACGAACGCTACGAGAATTCGCGCGTATGGCAAAGGCTAGGAATGGGTGAGGACAGCTAGATGATGATGATGAGGAGGAGGAGGATGAAAAAAGAGAGGATAGATAGACCAGTAGTGAGGCAATTGATCACCATGCGAATGCAGGCCGATACGAGTTCGCCCTATATTGTGACAGTGGCGCCGGGAGGGCAGGGGGAACAGAGGAGGCGGGTAAGGAGCAGCACAGCGAGCGGGTGAATAATGAATTATCCCGATGCGCCTCCATAGCTTCTGGAAGCGGCCTTGCCGCAGATGGAAACGACCACGACAGCGGCGTCGGCGGCCGTTGCATCACGGTGGCACCTGACTGATGCCTGAGACATTACCAGAGACGTACCCAGACCCTTCTCCACGCGAGGCAAACACTCTTCTGAACGCTCCATACAAAAGAACACATCGCCAAATATGCACGATCCGCGCTGCCCTCATCTCCGCCGTGCCCTCCCCGGAACACACGAAAATCCCACCAGCCCTCTGGGCGTAGGTGGTTCCGGGAGTTTCCTCTTCCATCTTCCCTTCTTCCCCTTCGGGGAGGGGTTTACCCCTCCCCCTAACCCCCTCCCCTGGACTTGGACGGGGGGGGCCGCTGGTAGATAGAGCGTCCAAAACGGCCTCGGCGAGGAAGCCAAAATCATCGGTTTTACTAAGGTTTTGGCCCCATTTTGGCATCTTGGGGGGGCAGGGATAATTAACCCCACCCTCTTCTTTGATCGATCTCCTCCAAGATGGCCCCAAGAGGCGCCCAGGAGGCCCCAAGAGGCTTCCAAAAGGCCTCCAAGAGGCCCCAAGAGGCCGCCATGAGGCCCCAAGAAGCCCCCAAGAGGCTCCAAGAGGCTCCCAGGATGGTTCCAAGAGGCCTCCAAGAGGCTCCAAGAGGCCGCCATGAAGCTCCAAGAGACCCCCAAGAGGCCCCAAGAGGCCTCCAACAGGCCCCCAAGAGCCCCCCAAGAGGATCCCAAGCGGCCTCAAGAGGCCCCCCCGAAGCACCCAAGACGCCCAAGAGCCCCCATTGACCGCCAAGAGACCCCCAAGACGTCCGAAGAGGCTTCCAAAAGGCTTCCAAGAGGCATCCGAGCGGCATTCAACCATCCACCCAGCGTCATCATTCTCCTCATCCCTCCTTCGCTCGGTTCCTCGCCACCCCCTCATCTATCCATCTGGCCTCCTCTTCCGCCTCATCCTTTGCACGGATCGGCTGTCCCTCTCGTTGCTCCCCCACTTCCCTGATCTCTTCAACTCGCCTGGACATCGTTTCTGGATGGGCTGGTGGGGACACGCGAAGCGTCAAGAATTGAGACCATTGCGCAGTTCGTGATATCTCAGGGAGGTCTCGGCTCGGTCCGCGTGGCCCCCAACTCCGCTGGACCTCCCAGGAGCACGCGAAAGTGGCGACAATACGCAGTTCGCAGTGTACCAGGTCGCAACGAAATCTCAAATAGGTGCTCCTGGCCACAGAATCCGCTGGACCTCCCAGTTCGACGCCACCCAAGGGACTGCGAGATCTCGGCTGGGTGCGCGTACTCGCCCACGATAGTGGCGACAGCTGCGCAGTTCGCACCCACACAAGGAGCAACGAGGTCTCGGCTGGATGCGCGTACTCCCCTACTCCGCCGTGCCTCCCAAGCGCCACGAAAAGGGCGACAGTTGCGCTGTTCGCAGCCGACCGGGGAACTGCATGGTCTCGGCTGGATGCGCGTACTCCCCTACTCCGTCGTGCCTCTCAGGAGCCCACGAAAGCGGCGACAGTTGCGCAGCTCGCAGCCAGGAGAAGGCAAGAGGTGAGGGGAATGCGAAGGAGGAGGAGTGGATACCGCAATGCTCAATTCGAAACGAGAACCCCACACAGGAGAGCTGGGCGCAAAGGTCGGCAATTGGAAGCACGTGCCCATTCGGCCGCGAAGCGAAGAAGACAATATGCGCTGCCGCATGGTCAGGAACCGCGACCAGGAAAAGCGGGCCTGCACGCACACATCTCCCTACGCCCAAGAGCAGCTGTGCACAACGGAATCCTCAACATCCTCCCCATGTTCCCCGTCCACCCCTCCCCCACCACCCCCCTCCTCCGGAGAATCGGCCATACTTAACACATGATGTCCCCCCCCCCCGGAGGCTGCCGACTGGACCCCGCGGAGCGCGAAGCCGACTTTCCAATCACGCCGGCCGGGGCTCGGAAGGCTCGGGGTGCCACCGCGCCGCGGACGAGACCAAACGGCATCAACGACGCACCGCCTCCGAGGGAGGGCGCGCCCCCAGAGTGCAGCGCCGTGCATGCGTGAGCGTGGCGCGCGTGGAGTGGGGCTTCGTTCGATCGAGGGCCCTGCGATGCGAGCTGCCCGCTGCCTTGGGCCTGTGGGCGTGCGCCGCCCGAAGCTCGGGGTTTCGTTGAGACTCTGGCTTCGTTTGCTCGTTCGGCCTGCGTTTTCCCGAGTGCCTGCCGTCGCGGCTTCTCCCCTGATCCCAGGAGGTCTGGCTGAAAAACAAAGCATCTCCCGCCCTCATCTCCAGGAGGGCGCGGAGGAGGAGGAGGAGGAGGAGGAAGATTAGGAGTAGGAATAGGAGGAGGAGGAGGAGGAGGAGGAGGAGGAGGAGGAGGAGAGGAGGAGGAGGAGGAGGAGGAGGAGGAGGAGGAGGAGGAGGAGGGAGGAGGATGAGGATGAGGATGAGGATGAGGAGGAGGAGGAGGAGGAGGAGGAGGAGGAGGAGGAGGAGGAGGAGGAGGAGGAGTAGGAGGAGGAGGAGGAGGAGGAGGAAGAGGAGGAGGAGGAGGAGGAGGAGGATGCAAACCCGTGGAGACCAGGTCAAGCCTGGGCACGACATCACATTCAAGCCTGGGGGAACTTGCCGCCACTCTTGGGGGGAAGACCACGAGCCAACCTGGACAGGACCTCCCTCCCAGCCTTCGTGGGGGGACGATCAGTCTTACAGGGTTTGGCCAGGCTTTGCACGTTGCGCCCACTAGCATGGGCACCACAATGCTCGCAATACAGCACACCGCGGAGCACATTCAACCTATGATTGCCCGCGCACGAAGGAAACAAGGGGTGCGCGAGCGGATCAGAGGAAAGGTGAGCGGGGCCGAAACAGGGATCAGGACAAAAGTCCTGGACGCGGCCCTTCACTCTGAATCGACGCTCACAGATCTGGCAGCGGAGAGCCGTACCCTTCAAGGTCGGCTCATGACCCGCACCCCTCATTCTCCTAAGGCGGACCTGGAAGACAGGGATAGGAGGGGGCCGAGGGGGAGGACGGCCGAGCCGATCAGAAACACGGCGGGGGTTCTGCTCCACAGCCTCCCGATGCACCGCCAGAAGGCGGTCAAGCGTGTGAGACGTGACACGATCAACAAACGCCGTCACATCAACCTGCTCGGGGGAGGGGGCCACACGTTCAGTGGCCCACCCCGCAAAGAAATCAGCACACCAATTAAGGAAAAACCCCTCCTCCCCAATGGCGAATTGGGCCGTCTGGTGGGTCGTCGAGTGGCTCTTGGTCCACAGGACGTCGACTGAACCAGGACCTCGATCGTCTAAGGCCGACCAGATCCGAACCCAAAGATCGAGCATCGAGCTGCTAGCCACGATCTGAGCTCGTGGCTGCCTCAGCCCTCTCACCAGGGGCAAATAATCAGAGTAGCACAATATATCACCCACAGTATGACTCAGAACCGTGATAAATGCATAAAATTCAGCTCGGGGACTAGACTGCTCCAAGGTAGGAAGACCACCGCACATAATGGTATCCAGCTGCAACGGGAGACCATCTGGAACCCCAAGACTGACTATAGCCCATACGCATCGCCTCAACCTCTTATCTCTGGCGTGAAGCCCTCCAAAGCCATCAAGGCCCCACGCGCCTCCAGGAACCCGACGCTGAGCCCTCAGGGTGCCCCAAGTCCAGGTACAAGCAGAGGGTGGAGGTAGGTGACCACAAAGTGCATCAAGGCAGGGTACCCCACGAGTAAAGAAAGCACTATGATGGTCAGCAGCAAGGGCATCATGAACCAAATATTCACTATTCACAATACTCGGATCAGTCAAGTACTGGTAACTCGGACATCCCCAACAACGGTGCAGAGGTGTTTCCCGCGCGTCACCACATCGGAAACAACGGCCTGAGGTCAAATATCCACAGTCCTGCAGACGCGACTCGGGCCAAGCACCTCCGACAGCAATCGTAATCAAAAGGGCGGCGCCCTTAAAGTCGCCGTCGTCGAGCAATTTCTTGTGCTTGGCACGAAGCACAGCAAGGTCAGCACCTGTCTCTAGACCTTGCCCGCGGAAGTGCTGAGCGGCCTTGGCCCAGACAACGGACGAGCAAGACTCAAGGACAGCCGAGGTAAGATGATATCTGAAATCAGCATCAGTCAACCTAAGAGCGACACCAACACTTGCACGCCACTCATCAACACGTCGTGGT